CTGGGTGACATCAGCACCAGTTGCTTCACAGAGTGCAGACATGGCATTAACAGATGATATCCTCTGGGCCAAAAAGGCATTGGCCGCAAGCTTGGAAAGCTCAGCAGACCAGAGATTGGTGGTCAGAATTCTATCCTCTGGAACCCAGTGAGCATAGACATCCTTCAATGTCTGGACAGCTTTGAGGCCTTCTGGGGTCTCCCGGCCTCCAATAAGCACGCGATCTGGGTTGAAAAGATCTTGGATTGCAGTTCCCTCTGCAAGGAATTCCGGGTTTGAGAGAATCTGGAATTTGATTCCCTTGCTATTGTGGGTCAAGATTTTTTCGATAGCCTCAGCAGTCTTAACTGGGACAGTTGACTTCTCAACAACAATCTTGTCAGATTTCGATACATCAGCAATCATACGGGCAGCACTCTCCCAGTATGTCAGATCTGCTGCTTTGCCAGCTCCAAGACCCCTTGTCTTTGTTGGGGTATTGACAGAAACAAAGACTATATCGGCTTCCCTTACATGTTTCTCAACATCAGTGCTGAAGAAAAGGTTCTTACCTCGGCACTGCTTAACAACACCATCAAGGCCAGGCTCATAGATAGGAAGCTGATCACTGTTCCAGGCATTGATACGGGAGACAGAGATATCGACCACTGCCACTTCAATATCGGGGCATTTAAGTGCGATGACTGCCATTGTCGGACCACCGACATATCCAGCTCCAATGCAACAGATCTTCACCATTTTCCTTGTCTAACTGACAACCTGAACAAATTGGAATTCACATATCAGACTATGATCTAAAAGAGTAATGTCAAATTTTCTCTACTGGATCATTTTTTGAGATTAAGAGAATAAATGTAATAGAAGACACATTTCCATCTCATCCCTTCTGTTTCCAGAATACAGAGCATAATCTGTGCGATGCACAATCCAAATTATATTCACCATGCAGCACTTATTCATGTGTGCATGAGTTGGTATATCGGGAAGTCCTCTCCTGAAATATACGAATGCTATAAGCTATCCAAATTTCTTATCATGCATAACCAAAATTTGTTAGTTCTTAGAAGCTAACTCGGATATTTCCAAGACTTTCCATTAAGTCTAAGCTGTCAGCCTCTACTGAGTTTCTGGAAACACTTACAAAAAGGAGAATGAAAAAAACTGAATTGCTTCATAATGTTTACCACTTTCCTTCCAATTTGGCAGGTATACCAAAAGTAGATTACCGCGAATTACCAAACAACAAGTCTAGACAGAATCAATACCATTGCCTAGGATTTTGCGTACTACTCTTCATTTCATGAAGAGCAGAAAAAGTAATTGCATAATGCCAGAAAGTTGAAGGATCTTGTTTACAGATCTAATCTGAAAGACCAACATAGCTATATGGCTCACTTACACATTTACAAATAGGTCAAAACTAATTGACATCAAACACAGCCATAGATCTAAGAAGTTGACGTGTAAACAAACCAAAAGTCATGCAAATTTTGAAGCAAGAAAATCGGTGTTGAACAGATCCATCAGCAACCCACAAAGATTCCGACTTCCAGACAAAATTGACGCATATCTAAGCTTTAACAAAACTGAATGGCACAACAAATAGATCCTCGACGAGATCACACAACTACGGCAACAGATCTGGTTTGACGAACATCACTAAAACACTCATCACCCAAAACAAAGTACCCATTTCGAGATACTGAGGGAAACCCAAAGACAAACATCGCAATAAACTAACAATGACACAGATCAAGAACGAATTAAGAAGAGAACACTCTCACCCGAAAATCAAACAGCAGTAATCAACGAAAACATTACACACTCAGAAGCCGAGAAACGAAGATCAAGCATATTACAAGGTTAGAAGTTAGGTAGAAAGAAATTTACCTGACAAGTTATTACAGTCGTCGTCTGCGGAGAGAAATGAAGACGACCGACCTTGTGACTAATTCGAACAAGAGAGAGATAGAGAAGATCAACGATATGAAATGAACAAGAGCGGGGGTGGTGCTTATATAGTCAACGTACTTCCATTTTTACCCTCTAAATTCTCCAAAAGGACTCGTTCTTCTGGGTGTGGGACAGGCGACCCTACTGGTTGCCGATTTTGCGTAGAGTGGAAGAAGGGTAAAAGTGGTAAATCAAGTTTCTCAGTTATGGAGGTGAATGAAATTACTAAAATAGCCCTGTGAAGAATAAAGTAGTGACCGGCTACCGGAATTTGGGAAACTGATTACACTGAAACAGGTAGTCTAATATTATTCTCCACGCGGTTTGCCCGCAAAGGCTGCTCTGTGAAGCACAAACTAGTGGGTTGAGACCTTCCTTGCTGTTGCAGGTTCGGTGACTACTTTTGTTATTTGTAATTAATTAATTATTAATATTAGGGTAAATTTTAAATTAATTCCACGCTATTTTGAGGTTTCTTAATTCGATACTTACACACATATATATATATATATATGTGCGTAATATTTTGCAATTCACTATTTTATCATTCAAGGTTTAGATAAAGTTATTATTACATAGCTGCCAAAGAGAGAAAATTGGATGATGCACCAATTACGAGGGAATCAATTAACAGTTTGATTAGTATTTAAATTACCAATTAGCGAATTATTAATTTTCTAATTTAAATTAATTCTTTAAATATATGCTCCCATATCAAAATTTTAAAATATGAAATATTCAGTTTGAATATGGTTGTGTAATTTTTTTAGTTTGTCTTTTCTTTGCTTCCTTCAAGTTATGTCTTGTTTTCTAAATTTTTTAAATGAACTTCGCATAGAAAACAAGAGAACAATTTGAGAAACAAGTAAATATCAAGAACGATGTAAGTTTATAAAATAGAACAAAGTGGTAAACTCAATTCATAAAACTTTAAATAAAAATTATGTACAAATCACTATTGATCTAATAATTTTTTAAATTAAAATTATGGATTATAAATAATTTAAATTTATATCATTGATAACGAGTGACTTGAATTTTTATATAAAATTCAATAATCATATTTTTTTTTTTATACGAAGTATTATATATATTTATAATAAATTTAAATTGAATATAATACTTTTATCTAAAAAAATTATGGATAATTTCAATTACCAACTATAATACGGAGATTCATAAAATACATTAGATGAAGTTATAAGCAATGATTCTCAAATGCATTAAGGTCATAAATCAAGTCTGCACATTATAATTGTGGATTAATATATGAAAAGTGAAAACTTGAAATTTAAGGATCATCAATTTGCTTGCACACTCGGGAAATATCTTCTTGAGTGCATATCAAGCCTACAACGATGCAGCTACTAATTATAGCAACTAGTTCCAATGAAACAACAGCTATCAGGTATATATATATATGTTATATATGAGGCCGTACCATTATTTTTCTTGATATATATATATATATATATTTTAAAAAAATTATGATCGTCAACAAAGTTTTGACATTTTCTGATAACTCTATTTCATGTTTACTAATTAAATATAATTAATTATATATTACTAATTTTTTAAATCTAGTAATAGATCTTTTGAAGAAAGATTGTTAAAATATGTTCACATATGATCTTATGAATTATATTTTAAATTTTAAAATTTAAATTTTAAATTCCATTGCATGATCACAATAGAGACTTAAGTATAGGCTATGGCGACTTAGTAGTAGAGTTCCTCAAGATTTTACCTTGCACGTTTCATTCAAGTACGTAAACGCCATAGGCATAGATATGTATGTGTATATATAGTGGCCGCTTGACCCATAATTTTATTATGGGTATGCATAGATATTTTTCATGACTAAAATTAAATGGTTGCTTTGGTTGAAAACATGGATTGTGGCTTCAAGACAAGAAGAGGTTTCAGTCAAGGAGGGATTTGCTGTTCATTTAAAATTGCAGGTAGAGAATGTAAAAAAGAGAGGTTGAGAGACTAAATAAATGGGAAGGAAAGGTAAGGTATTTGCATAGCTCACTGTCCCAGAGCATTTAAAATTGGGAATAAAGCTATGCTTTCAACATATTTTTATGCCTCCAACCTACATGAATACTTCTCTGAACGGAAACGAAGTCATTATTTAATAAAGTACATAACTGGATAACCATCGAGAATCCAGTTTGACTTGCGCCTACGAGAATACCGGTACCAACAAATTTCCAGACTAGCTGCTGCTCATGGTACAATGACAAAAAGAGGCTGCACCAACCAAGCCAAGGGGTTCAGAATAGATGCTTGATGCACTATTTGAGAGACGAAAACAGAGAAAGAAGAAAGATTACCGTGTCTACACTAACTGATTTCCCATCCTCTACGAGTATCTCAGCTATGGTTCCTGTTTGATCAGACTGCAAAAGCAAAAATTTAAAGCACATAGAGAGGTCGTGATAAATTTCACCACTATGCTCTTCAATTGCACAAGTGGAAACATAATTTACAGAGACAAACTCAAAATTGTTTATTAAAATATCAACTTTGGAAAATGCACGTTGAAGTTAGCATTGATTGCATAGTTTCCTTCATGTTAAAATTTCCAAATCCAATTAGATGGTAAATATTTGAAGATAAGTACTTGAGATGGAGCCTTCATGCAAGAAAGGAGAGAAGTAGATTTGCAATAACTTTGCTGGGAAAAATGCAACTATTAAAGGAAAGACAAAGTACCTCGATTTCATTCATCAATTTCATAGCTTCGATGATGCAAATGACTTGACCTTTCTGCACTTTGTCTCCAACCTTCAAGAAAAAGATACAATGTGAATATAGAAAACATTAATGTACAGGTGAGATTTCTCACTGAAGATTAGATCAGTAAACAAGTTCGTACACCCATATACTTGTGTATTTTGAATTGCAGGAGACACTTGTCAATTATAAGCTAATTGACATATGCACCTACCTTGACAAATGCTGGTTCACCAGGCGCAGGGGATCGATAGAAGGTTCCGGCCATAGGGCATTTTAGTGCTGTTTGAGATGAATGACCTGTCTTTGCTGGAGGCCCAGAAGCTGGTGCAGGTGCAGGTGCTAAGGATTTGGCACTTGCAGGAGCAGGAGAAAGAGAAGCTGCCGGGGCTGGTGGTGGTGGAGCCGGAAGCATGGCATGAGGCATAGGGGTCGGCATAGCAACCACAGGAACTGCTGGTGCTGGCTGCTGCAAAGCTTCCTTTTTCTTTATAACAACCTCACAGTCCAGTTGTTTCAGTTGCAGCTCGACAATATCTCTTGAATCCACAAGTCTGCTCATGAAAATGACCAACTTCAATAACTAACGGCACGTCACTGTACAAATATAAATGATAATACATGCAAATCTGCCAAATTTATAGATCCTCTGTCTTACTTGATAAGATCTGTCACTTGTGACATGAATGCTGAAATGGCTAACTCATCTGGAACAATATTTTCCACAGGCGCATCTCCTTCTTGTGACACAACTTTGGTTTCAGTGTCAGCTAATGGTGCAGAATTACCCTTCAATTTATAAAGTACATAAGTAGAACACTAAACTAATCCAGAGCGCATGTTAGCAACCTTGATATGAGACCATGTAGCATATTAGTTTTCTAAATTATTACTAGTCTAGCATTCTATATGTAGAAATTTGACTTCTCATATAAGTTTAAATTTCTATATAAATTGATATTTTCAAAAAAATCTCCTTAAAAAGTAGAATCATAATCAACTTTCATAATTAGAAGTTCTTTTTTTTTACGAGACTAATTTGTATTTAGTTTTCTAATAAAATTCTCTCTAATCTTCTCTTATGTATATCCAGCTATCGCAAATTATAAATCAAATTTCAGTAAACAAAAAATTTAGTAACAAATTTTCACCATGCAATATCAGACATACCTCACTAGGTTGTGCATGCCTCTTCCACGGTGAAGATTGGCTCTTATTAAGGCACTGCAGAAGAAAACAATATGGCATGAGCAATTTACTGATATTACATTTGAAAAATCATTACCAATGACAAAAGAAAACAAAATTCACAGATGTTAAGCACTGCTATTCTTAAACATCCTAAAAGAAAATTACAACAGATGCCTGGCTTGTCATCTTATCATGATAGATTTAGAACAAAAACGAAATTACACTTCCTTTGCCTCTGTAGGCATGCTTGAAAGTCAAAATTATTTGAGGCTTGTATTGGGTATGGAATTCAGTACACAGCATAAAATTCAATATACTAATCATATAGGACAAATAGACTAAATCTGTCCAATTAGGAATTTGGAAATAAATACTGAGACATTGCACCTAGGATTTCTTATAACTCACTCCAAAAAGTCTCAGCGATCACATCTAAAGATTTGATTGTATCAAACAACCAAAAAACTGAAAAAACTCTCAAAATATTTTGTTGAATAATTGGATGCCCTCAAGAAGTGAAATAAGAAGATATTTATAATGTTAGTGACCTTTACTAAATAAGATTAAACTCAAAAATATTAAACCTAATAAGAATAGGAATATTACTCAGAATAAGACAGGAAACTGATAATAATAATATTAGGAATATTTAAAACATACAAGAAAAATAAATATTAAAAATAATAAAATTTTAATGTTTGAAGAAAACTCATCTGCTAGTTTTGAAGTGATGAATGATGTGAAACCTTAATTTTCAAGGTACCTTACAAAAATCCAATGCATCTTATGCACAGTCATTCTCTTCAATAACAAGCATAATAAAAACACAAAATTGTTGATGAGTATAAAATCCTGGTGGAAGAACAAAATCAACATATTGACCAATTTTCACTTGCACTTCATCTCTGAACTGAACATCATTAGATTCAATTATTGGTTTAGGTTCCTCCTTGCATTGAACTTCTGTAGAACTTTCTTTAGGTCGTGAAAGGTTTTGAATGACCCTAGAATCTGTATTCTTAGGAAAAACATGACAGTTAATTGCTTTTGTACGTTTATATTGATTTATCTCTTCTGTAGTTCTAGGTTTTAAAACTACATACTTATCCAAGCATAAAATGATAAGTAGTAATAGTCTCATCCTTATAATTCCTCACCTCCCGTGCTCATTGCTATCCATAATATGCGTTCCCCACTCTGCCTACTCCTTTCCCATCCTCCTTCCTCTTTCCCCCACCGAAACTCACTCAGACTCTTCATAAGCCATTCAGCATCACTCTTGAGGTAGAAGATTGATTTTCGAAAACCTTCCCCATTTTCGAAAATCCTCATTTCTTCCCCTTCCCCAACAATGTCATAGGATTTTTGGTTTATTCTCAAGAACTTTTTATTGCCCCTAAAACATCTCCAGCCCCTAGACCGCCGTCGCGTCAAGGCCAACGGCGATGGAGAGCCCCCAAAATTACTCGCTCTCAGTCGCTCTCAGTCTCTCAGCTCCTAAAACGTTTGGTGCTGTTTGGGTGTAGAGTTTTTAAAATTTTGAATGTAGGACTTTTTTTTTAGCTTTGATACAAACTGATGCAGTGCAAATAAGATTGATATGTCCAGTTAAAGATTTGGAGATAAAAACCTAAACATCACACCTAAAGTTTGTTAGACATCACATCGCATCTAAGGAGTCTTTTACATCTCATTAAGGCTAATTGTATCGTACAAATAGAAAATTGAAAAGCTCTCAAATTTATTTTATTAAATAATAGAATGCATTAAGAAGTGGAATCCCGAAGATACTTATAGTGTTTCTTAAGTAACCTTTATTAAATAGGATGAAAAAATATTAAATCTAATAAGACTAGGAGTATGTCTCTAATAAAACAGAAAACTAATACTAACAATATTAAGAATACTTTTTTTAAACAAAAATAGTATAGTATGATTCATTTAGATACACCAAGAGAGTGCAAACCCATGTATTAAAATATTTATATATCGATCAAAATATTTATAAGGTTCCCAAAGTTCTCAAGTGAATAGAGATGATGACCCATAAAAAAAATTAGGGTTTGGAACCATATATCTTTTACGATATCAACATTTTCTTCCACACCCTCAAAAGCTCTCTTGTTTATCTTTTTTGACACAGCCTAAAAGAAAGCAAGGGAAATGAGACTAACATGTTTTCTTCACTCCACTAATGCCTTCCACGCCCAAATTTCTTCCCTCAGCAAATCAGCTATCATCCAATTGATACTCAAGACCTATAAGGTACACAATTTATACACAAAAAGGCACCACAGAAGGATATGATTACATGACTATACATCGCTTTTGCATAAGAAACACCAAGTCACAAAAATTCTCACCCCTGATAAACCTTGTCAAGTCTTATAATACAACCTCTATCAACCTCCCAAACAAAAAAATTAACTCTAGGTGGAACATTAACATTCCAGATTTACTAAAAGGGAAGTTGGTACCTGTCACTTCTTTTTCAGTCAAATGATTGTAGAAAGGCCTGACCGAAAAAGTACTTCTCGTGTAGAGCCTCCAAATTGGTTGATTTCTACTTCCATTAACTCTAACTCTATCTCTAGCAAGGGCTAGGAGAAGAGTCTCATTTTCCTTAACTTCTCAATCATTGAGATTTCTTATAACTTCTACGTTCCACTCTCCTTCCCCCTTATTGGCACTATAAGAGTTGTGAATCCATATAGTCTTGTACCAAGCAATAGTATAGATCCGGGAGAACTATTCTTTAAGTGTCACACCCTCCAATCAAGCATCATGCCACAAAATGAACCTATTACCAGTGCCAAGCCTCTAAGTGATAAAATCTTGGAAGTTATTTTTGCTCATGCATTTTTTTTTTTCACATCTCCTTCCCATGGGTGTAAACAAGAGCCTGGGAAATCATCCTCTATCTACGGTCTCAAACTTCACCCCTATCACCCTCTACTAGAGACTACAATTTTCATTCATAAATCTCCAGAGTCATTTCTCCTTAAGAGCTACATTAACCTTCACCAAAGATCTCAAACCGAGATTGTCTTTATGCATAGACTTTTTAACCTCATCCTAAATCACAAGATGATACTTTCTTGCATCTCCATATCTCTTTATAGGAATCTACATTGAATTGTTTTCAGTCTCTTGTCCACAGTTGCATAAACTCCCAACAGGGACATAATAATTGGGGATATTGATCATCATGTCCTTAATAAGTGTGAGTCTCCCCTCTTTAAATAAAGGTTCCTCTTCTCTCCGACTAACCTCATCTCAAACCTTGCCCCACAGAACATAAGTCACCACATCTTTATATTTAACACTTAATGGAAGCCCCAGATTTTTGATCGGTAATTCCATGGTCTTACCCAAAATCTTGGCCAACCTAATGGTATCCCTCCCATCATCCAGTCTCACCAATTCAGACTTGTTTAGGTTAATGTTGAGGCTAGAAACTACTTGAAAACTCAGTAAAATGCATATGAAATTAAGCAAGGGCCTCTCATCCAGTCCACATAATAGCAAAGTATTATCAACAAAGAATAAATGAGTTACCTCCTCCTTATGCTCACTATCTTCCACCTTTAATACCTTAAATATCTCAAGCTCTCTAACTCTTAACAATTTTTGTTGAGAGCTTCCAACAATGATAACTAGTAAAGGAGACAAAAGATCACCTCGCTTAAGACCTCTGAACCCACTGAAGAACGATGAGGAACCCCCATTAATTATAATTGCAAAGAAGTCGTAGACATGCATGAGTTGATCCATTTGCGTCATTTGTCTCCAAAAACCAGTTGTTTCAACATATAATCAAGAAAACCCCAACTCACATGATCATAGCCTTTCTTCATATGAAGCTTGCACATGACACCCTCCATAGTTTTGTGAAACAGTTCATCCACAATTTCATTCACAACAAAAGCTGCATCCAGAACTTGTCTGCCCTCCACAAAAGCATGTTGACACTCACTCATCACCCTTCCAATCACCTTAACCATTTTCCTTGTCAATACTTTGGAAATGAGCTTGTACACGCTCCCTATTGACCTAATAGATTTAAAATCTTTGATACTTATTACTCCTTCCAAAATAAGTAAAGAATACTAATCCCTATACAAATAAAAAAATACTAAAACAAATAAGAAAACTAAATATTAATAAGAATAAAATCTTAAAATTATTAAAATTACAATAATATACTTCTAAATAATGCAATAGTTCTACATTTAGTACAATTATAATTTTTTATCTATTTAAGTGATCTATTTTGCATCAACTATAGGGATGAAAATCCACTTAGCGCATCAGATAATGCTTGAACACCTTCTCTTCCTCTAGAGAGGGAAGGTGTCTTAACCATCAAAAATCATGGCGCTTGGTAATCAGTCTATAAGACTTGATTTCTCAGTTCTTAAGCATACTAATGGAAAAATGGTAAAGTATTTATCATTTCAATTCCAAAATTAACTCCTGTAGGAACATGTAGCTTTAAACCCAATATATAATCTGTTCTTCGCACAAAATTATTTCTGACCCAACTACATTCTTGGTCTCCCTATCCCACAAGTTTTTGTAGCAGCACACCATGGAGGTAAGGTATTTAATAAATTTTTATAAAGATGTACAATCATATATGTATTTTTCCAGCTTTAAGAAATCCTAAAGCTATTAACTTTCCAAATAGATCCCCAGCTAATGTTATAGAAACCTAAATATCTCCAACTCACTTTACAATAATTTTTTTCTTCCTCTCCAAGCAATCATAATGTCTCTGTCTCTTAAACTAGACTAATAATCATATATTATAGCTAATGTTATGAACAACTCTAGTCCTCTAATCTAATCTGGTATCCTAAAGATGTCTGGTAAGCTCTTCAAGTTGATAAGCCAATTCTTGTTGTTTGGTCTTGTAAGCAGCCTGATCTTGCTCCCGTTCAATTCTGTTTCAGGCATGAGTATATTGGTTCATCTTTAAGAAAGTCTTAACTATTGCTGAAAGAGGCACGAAAATCTCACAAAACTTCATGCTCGAGTAACTTCTTGTTATGGCCCCTAGTTTAACATCTACATATGGGTTTGTGATGGTAGAAATCAAATTAAGGGTTAGAACATTTGTCTGATTTTCTTATCTCAAAAGAAAAAAAACATTTGTGTGATTTTCTTGGGTTATGACCAATCTTGAAGGGCTCAGATAGACTCGTTATGTAAAGCCGCATGACGTTCGAGTTTGCCTAGGAACTCATACTTTTCTGAGTAAAATACTCCTCAGACCTTTTCATACATTCAGTAAGAAGCAGAAAACAAAGAGGCCTTAGAAATAACCCCACTACATACTAACAACCTACACAATTCCTTCCCACACTTGATGGAAATAAGAAACAGAAACAGAGCATGCAATAAAAAACTGAACTGTTGAACTGCATATGGAAAAGCTGAAAATCACGCTCCCGTCCTGTGCACATAAGTTGCCCATTGAATGTCCCTTAAAAAAACTGTAACCTTGATGACCAACTCCACACCAAATTTAGTTTTTGCCAAAGGCATATGCAAGAGAATTTAAGTGAATTCAGCTTATTTTATACTTGATCTTTGTTCTGACTTTTAGTAGAAATTTGAAAAAAAAAAAAAAAAAACACTGAGAGGACTGATTAAAAACTTATCTTTTACCGCTGAAGTTGAACAGAAAAGTTTGACCTAATGGTGTAATTACAAGACCCAAATAGCTGAGATTTTATACATTTAAATGAAAAAAAAAAATACTAGTATCTAATGGGGACACACCACTCCCAAACTCCAGTGAACGATGTACCCAAAAATAGGTCTGTAGCCTGAAGTCATGTCAAGGTTTCTCGTAGAAAGCAGCCTATTGAGTGTTGTTAGGTCTCTTTATTTCCTTGAAAAATATAATGAGAAACACTGTCCTTTCAACTAGTCCAATTCTCTAAAAAATGGCAGCAAAACGGAAGACTGAACCCCACCCTACCTTAGTTCTTACTATTCTTTGGAAACAAGCATTACACTTAAGCTTGGTATCTCAAATTCCAATTACACAACGTAGATTATTAGCTGAAAATGTCTTCAACTAATGCTGCAGCATATTTCCATCAATTATCAGGTACCCGCGACAACAATAGATTCAATTGTAAAATTTCAGCCTAAAGTAAACACGTATAGAGACACATGCATGCTTAAATATATACAGGGACATATAACAACAAAAAATCTGCAATGATATAAGCAAGAGAGAGCGCGAGATTGAAAATAGAGTCGTTCCACATAAATTAAAAGAGAGCAAAACAAAGACATTGTGCCGTAGCGAGTAAGATTTGGAGAATGAACCTGAAATCCGCGAAGAGCCAGGAGATTGGAAGGAGGGGGAGGAGCGAGAGAGAAGGTGTGGGGTCGGTGCGAGCGTGGGAGGAAGGATCGAAGCCGAGGCGCTGATGAAACTTTGGGACAAGGTATCGACATTGAAGCCATTGTTGTTTGAAGAAGGAAGAGAGAAAGGAGAAGATGAAGGGAGAGTGCAGAAATGGGGCAGGGAGTGTGAAATGGAAAGTAAGGGGAAGGTAGATTCGTATAAGTAGAGGGAAATGTGGCGATGGGATCGGAGAAGACGAACTCAGAAATCTCAGGAAATATTAGTGTAAAATAAACAACTGGAAGGAGAAGGGTTCGATATAAACAAGGAGATGGAAGAGAGCATCAACATCGCCGTTTTAACTAACCTCAACTAACATGCACCTTTTTCCTTACATATATATATATTAATTCATCTGCTATGTTAAGTAGTTTGGTGGGACCCACTATTTACAGTGTTTCAAAGCTCATCGTCTTCCCAGCCATCTCTCTACCTTGCTCCTTTGGCTGTGTTGTATTGTGTATCATACGATATATAGGTAGAATTTTAATTAATTCGATAAATGAATGACCAAATTACACACTTACCATAGAATTTTAATTTTGCATACATATATTACTCTGACATAATTAATTACTCTAACTTGAAGATCTTCCAAATGTTTCAATCATTTGGTTGTTCATGCTTCTAACAAAGTTAGTAGCTAACTCCACCTGTGTTACAAAGGCAGATTCTCTATAATTGTTCGATTTTCTCCCAAGTTATTTCATTTTGTTGTGTAAATAACCTTAATATTACTTCACAATCAACAAGCAAGAGACGAAAAACACCATACACGGACAAGTTATGAGGTCCCATATTGACCACCACGAAGTCTTTTTCAGTGACTAATATATTTGCTTGAGATGAGCTTAGAAACCTCCAAGGAATCTGGAGTGAATTGCTTATCCTAAGACTGACTAACCCAATAAATTCACCCCAGAATTTTGTAGCAAAAAACTATAGTTGGCGTTGCCAACCCAAAACAATCAAACTTGTATTATTCCAACTTGTGAAACATGCGAAAGGAAAAAAAATAATAATAATAACAACCTTCATCTAGTAAATCTCCAGCCAAAAATCACTGAAGACAGTAATGCTTATTTAACAATTACAAGGTTACAAAAGTGCATTCAATTTCAAAGATAATTTAGCTGTCCCTATCCTCCCGAGGGAACTTCTTGTGTGAAGAAGTAGCAAAATGCTTGCAACTGCTCTTCAAGCTGCCGATGTTCGGAAACAAAAATAAGCCAAGAAAAAATTAAACAGTATCTAGTAGCGGTTCCAGTAGGTCCTGCGTCTGAACCAGTTGTAGTCGGGCAAGCTTTGGATTGGGCCCATGGCAGCAATTGCAATATCCTGCACAGACTCAGACATTCAGTCAAAACATATTTCAGGGATAATTAGACTGGCAAAGCAAAGCCCAAAGAGTCCTCCATATGAATGGAACTTCCTACCCTATCATAAATAAACCGGTTTGCAACGCGCTTGATGGTGCTTGCATCAACAGCATCTATCCTAGCAAACAACTCAGCAAATGGGATTCTCCGCCCATATGTCAGTAGCTGCAACAGTAAGAAGTCCAAGGTAAATAAGTTGGATATCAATGCTTTACCAACAGAACTGCCTGTTGACAAAAATTTTCTTCACTCAATTACTAAGCTAACTACTCTTTTCATGTCCCACGCAACATAAGCAGCTATAACCCAAAAGCTCCATCAATTTAAATTTTGTGTTCATTATTTTCTTAACAGAACAAGAAATACCTGCCGGCCAATATCCTCGGCGATGGGACTTGTTCCGTCAATGTGGAGCAACAGTGATGATTTCAGCTAGAAACAGAATATAAAAATTTATTAGCAATAAAAAGACAAATGAATGTGTTAAAAAGGAAAAACTTGACTTTTCACTACAAATAAACCATCTCCCATTTGTATGAGGGAAGAGAGATGAAATATCAAGACTTGAATAAGAAGATAGTATGTTATAAAATGCTAGTCCACTAAC